ATATACATGTATATATACATGTATATATATATATATTGTGTTTAAGGTATCTTCCTGAATACAAGGATGTTGGAAGGTCTGGGTGTTCAAGGCTTCAGGTAGTGATCGCGTCGGGCGGGGGACCTACAGCTGTTGGATTGTTGGCAAGAAACCCCTGAGGCTCCGTACGGTTCAGGGTTTAGGGTTTAGGGTTTAGGGTTTGGCAAGAAACCCCTGAGGCTCCGTATATACTACTGTTTATGGAACCAGGTCCCACAAGACCATCCATGCCATGGCTCTAGGGACCTGATTCCATAATGGTAGTATATTTGGAGCCTCTGGGATAGCACCTGTTTTTCTGGCCACCTCATAGAGGTAGTTAGGGTCCCTTTTCGGGTCCCCAATATAGTACGGTAGTTATGGAGTGGCAAACTCACAAAAAATCTGTACGTGAAGCTCCGGAGACCCCAAAAGGTCCTACGTACTTCTATGGGGGATCATTACTTGCCCCAACCATAAATAGCAATTCCTAGTATAGAAACCCTGCATTCTACTATGTAGGTACATCAGAACCCCTAGACCCTTAAAGAAGCCCTCGAAGGAACCCATAGAAACCCTACATTCTATATACTATATAGGTACTTGATATGTTTTGGGACCTTGGGAAAGGAGACAGGCACCAAGCCCTTCGCCTCATATCGGTTGCAGGAGGATACCGCACTGAACTGTGCAAACCAAGAGAGCAACAAACCCTAAACCCTAAACCCCCAAAGGGTCCTAGGTAGTGTTGTGGGGATACTTGCCCAAATCAAAATAAGGATCCCTAATATAGAAACCCTACATTCTACTATAGAGGTACTTTGGACCCTTGGGGACCCTGAACCCTAATCACGTGCCAACCCTCAGCCACGACTGCTCAGCCTGCAGTTTCCTAGAACCCTTAACCCTAAACCCCGGAAGCCCCAACCCCCATACCCCTGAAGCCCTAAACCGAAATCCGTAAACCCCTAAGCTTTAAACTTAAACTCCTAAACCCTCAAGCCCATAATCGCAATTCCAAAACTGACACCGCTTCAGTCTCCTGGGATCCGGATACGGAGCCGTCGCGGATGATGCGGAATTGATTGTTCACGAAGAAGCACCTTCTAAGCTTTAGGGCTTCCTTGTTCAGGGGCTGTATTTTTTACCAGCACTCGCTCTTCCGTCTCGCGAACGTCAGAGCTGTTACAGGAGCTTTCTCAGGACTCTATTGTTTTTTATTGCTTTTTAGGGCTTTCTGGTTTGGGGCATCCAGGAGGGGAGATACTGGCGACACCCGACTTTGCAAAGCTAACGTCCTGCCCTACCTTTACGCAACCCTACCACATGTTGCACACGAATGGGGCAGCGTAAGAACGAATCCAACCCCACACCCCAAACTACACCCCTAAACCCTAAACCCTAAACCCTAAACCCTAAACCCGAAACCCTAAACCCGAAACCCTCAACCCAAGGCACATGTAGAAGAAGACCAGGTGGCTTTCCATGCAGCTGCTGGCGAACATCTCCAGAGCACTGCGGAGCTTATCCAAAGTGTACATCCATGTCCATGACCTTAGGGTTTAGGGTTTAGGGTTTGGGGTTTAGGGTTTAGGGGAGGGGCCAGAGGACCCAATAATCAGGTACTTAGGTTTTGGATAGTAGTTATGTACGTAACTGTTTGGGAGAGTATATGATTATTAGGTACTTGGACCCTTAGGGTTACTTCAATCATTCCCCAAACCGCTGGAATAAGAACTGAAGGTACTGTAGGGGCCTTAATAATTGAAATAAGGTTTTGGGGGTGTACTATGCCACAACTATGATAAGGACCCCCCCTGCAAAACAAATATAGTACAAGTAATTATGAAGGCCCCTATAGTAGCCCTAAGCCTCTAAGCCCAAAAGTCCCTCAACCCGGAACCCGAGAAAGGGGATGCCCACAAGATCCCACAAGGCCCTAAGCCCAGAGCTTAAGGGTGATCCTTGATTTGGGGTTTAGAGTTTTATGGCTTAGGGTTTAGGATTAAGGGTTTGGGATTTAGGGTTTAGGGTTTGGGTTTTGGAATTTAGGGTTTAGGGTCTGTTTCCACCACTTGTCGGATGCAGTGAGCACCCCTGAACAACAGAAACTGGGCTCATGAGCTAAGTTTCGGGTGCTTCGGGTGTTTCGGGTTTCCCTGAAACCATATTCACTGGTAAATCCTTAACCCTAAAGCCCTAAACCCTAAATCCCTAAACCAAAGACCCTAAATCCCTAAACCCTACCTCCCTAACCATAAATCCCTAAATCCCTAAACCCGAAAACCCTAAACCCTGAATCCCTAAACCCTAAAACCCTAAACCCTAAATCCCAAACCCTAAATCCCTAAATCCCTAAACCCTAAATCCCTAAATCCCTAAACCCTAAACCCTAAATCCCCAAATCAGAAAATCCCTAAACCCTAAACCCTAAATCCCCAAATCAGAAAATCCCAAAACCCGAAATCCCTAAAATAAGAAAATCCATAAACCCATTGCGTGGCCAGTTGGCAGATAGTGGGTCTGCTCCCTGCGATCTGCCCTCGGGAGCCAGTCAACCAGCGCACAGCCCAGTCCTGGGTTTAAGGGGTTAGGGTTTAGGGTTTAGGGTTTAGGGTTCTTAGGTTTACCCAGAGAACCAATACCCCATAAGTTAATAAGGAATATACCTTAAATTTTAGGGTCCTTATAATCTTCTGATTCGAAGTATATTCCTTAATTGAGGGATTGGGTTCTCTGGGTAAGGGTAGGCTTGATTATATAAATCCTGCATTACCCATACTTAGGAATATACCATAATTCCCATAGTTTAGGGTCCTTAAGGTAGTGCAGGATTTATATCTTCAACAGTAGGTTTTAAGGGCTTCCGGGCTTAACGGAGTTTAGGGCTTTAGGGTGATAGGGCTTAGGGCCTTAGGGCCTTAGGGCTTTAGGGCTTTAGGGTTACAGGGCTTAGTATTTTTTAGGGTTTAGCGTTTAGGGTTGAGGGTACTTAAAATCTAAGGAGTCTAGGGTTTAGGGTTTAGGGTTTAGGGTTTAGGGTTTAGGTTCAGTAGGCACGATGCTGCTTGATCCGGCTGAGGAAGGTATCAAAGAATCCTATCAAAACTCTGAAACCCGAAACGGTGCGCCCTACACCCTAAACCCTAAACCCTAAACCCTAAACCCTAAACCCCTAATCGAATCTAGACCCCAAACCCTGGAACCCTGGCCTTTCCTAAACCCTCCGGTAGAAAGGCATAGGCTCTTCCGTCGCGTGGGCAAATAATGCTCTGGCCAATCGGATCGCCCTGGAGCCAAAACGTCTCCTCCATCGGAACTGTTGAAGGGTTTTGGTCTGCAGGGTTTAGAGTTGCGGGTTTAGAGTTGAGGGTTTAGGGTTTGGGGTTTAGGGTTTGGGTTTCGGGATGCTTGATTTCGTGTCTTTCGGATCTTTACGGGTTTTGGGGTTTCAGGTGCAAGTTTCGGGGCTTAAGTTGGGGCTCCGGTGTTAAAGCTTTGAGGTGTGAGGGTTGAGCATTTTGGGCCTACTGTTTGGCGTGAGAGTACATGTAGGAACCATGAACCTACCCTTCCAGTCCTGAATCCTTGACAAGTTGGCTGATTGAAATCTAGCACCCTGAACCCAAACCCCTGAACCCCAAACACCGAAACTCCAAACCCCCAAACCCCCAAACATCCCTAAACCTTACACCCTGAACTTGGGAGGTTTCAAAGTTCAGCGATGTCGGATCGTGGGCCTACAAGCATGGGGCTTTCAAGCCTCCTTCAGTGATTTGTTGTAAGGGGCAAGCTGGTTCACGGCTTGACGTTTCGAGGCTTGGGATGATGCGTACGGACTAACTTGGGTTCAAAAAAGCTGTGGACTGGTAGGCTTTCGCAGAGTTTTGCCCGGCTTCGCGTCGTTGGAAGCTTCCCATAGCCTTCATCAATAGAACAGTATTTTGGGGTAGGTTGTCACAGAATTACAGTCTTACACGTACACCCCAACAAGTATTTTTGAGAGAGCCATAAGTAGGGTTAAGAAGGGTCCCCTTAAGGGGGTCTCCCTAATTAATACTACCTAGGACTAAACCCTAAACCCTACTCAACCGCGAATCTTAACCCGAGAATCCTTCATGCGGTTGAAGGTGGGATTCCGCTCTCCAGTGCGATCGCTCGCGAGGCGCGCAAAGTCGCTGGACAAGAGGTACCTGCACAGCATTGATCCAGACCCTAAAACGTAGTACCGTTTTTGGTTGACCTATTTTAAGGTTACGACCATATAATAAGAAACTAAGGTAACCCAAAA